GATAAGTGTCCAAATACTGAAATACAGGTTGGCGTTTGATCGGAGACATGAATCTATCGAACTTTTGAGTACCTCTTCATCGTTAGTCCCAAATAATGTGGTAAAGATTAAGGATTATCATCATCGTTGTCATCATCATTATCGACTCTCCACCGAATTCGACGAAGCCACAAGATTAAGGATAAGCGTCCGTCGTTCGGAGATGAGAGTCATTGATCCATCGAAGTTAGTAAACACGCTTTGGCCAGAGGTAGATAATATGGTTACTCACAGATATGGAACGTTCATGCGCCGTTAATGAAAGCATATGATCAGTAAAAGCCACGATTTGAACAAGAAGCATTACTAATGTTTATTGATCACTCTGCTGGGATGGACATTTCATTTTCTTTCACTCGACTTCCCTTGAATTTAAAGTTGAAACTGATCTACTTCTGTACTCTCAGCTTGCTAAACACCAAGAGAAAATGACAACTTTTATTATCTGAATAATATCAAACTGAAAAAATCCTTTTTTCACTACAAAGTAACTCAGCATGTAATATTTCATGTCAATGAAATCAATATCGTTACAAGAGTTGGATGAGACCAAAAATGTAATATTACTGATATATCTGAGCCTCTCTGCAGCCTCCCTGCAGCCTCCTTGCAGCCTCCCTGCAGCCTCTCTGTAGCCTCTCTGTAGCCTCTCTGTAGCCTTTCTGCAGCCTCCCTGCAGCCTCTCTGCAGCCTCCTTCCCCACAGAGCCAACGTTGTATGCCTCTCGTTATTTTCATGGAATATCTTCAGATGAGCTTCATTTTTTAATGCTACTTGATTAGACCTTTACAGCTAGAACTCACTGTGCAAAGTCCACGGAGTCGAATTGCCCACATTTCCTCCGTATTCCATATGTAAGAAGGAAGTCCCTTTCAGACAGATTTTTTATTGGTAGTTTGTGGAACAGCCACCCGCGCAGATGTTTCCCTGAACGCTACAATTTTAACCTCTTCAAGTCAAGGGTCAATGGTTTTCTATCCTCTACTCATACTCATAAGATTCAATTTTTACTACTCCATCTTGCATTCACATTACATCGCCTCATTGAGTACCCCCCACCTCTACCTTGAGTGGCTCTCCAGCTTTGTATTGGGTGAATCTTTAGTAAAAGAAAATGGTGGATTTTGTTAATGTTCCCGTGTTTTTGTTGCGCACCTTTTCTTAAATTTGTTTCGCTTCATTTTCCAATGAAAAAGATAACGTGTATTTATCTTTTCTAATCACTGAGCTTTTCAATTGACGTTCTTTCGCAGTAAGACTATCCGTCAGTCACCATTCCAAATTTCGTGTTACTTGTAGATTAAACCACCCCTGATCATCATATGATTCTATGACTGTTTAACGAGTAATATGAAGAAAAATTGGCAGTTAATTACAAAGATCAGAGTCCCCCACAAAAAATCAGTTAAAGGATTCAAGCAAAAACATTCTTTTGTTTCAAAGTTCAAAGGTCTTAATCTTCAAGCATGTCTGGCACTTAGCATCGTAAATCTCAACTTTTCGGACACATACACGAACAAATCTTTAATGTACTTTCAGTATCGAATCGAAATTTTAAGACAATTTTAAGTTTCAACCTTTTCTTTCTTTTTTTTTTCTTTTTTTGACATAACCTACAGAAAAAAAAGTATTATCAGAATTAGCATGGATCGTCTTTATGCTAAAATTATATAAATGTCGCATAATTGTAGCGTTAATTGTTCTCTGGTACATATTTCTGTGGTTTTAAAAATGTTTTAAATTGCTAATTGGATATTAAATATGTATTTATGACTTTTCTGTGTTAACAAAACCAATCATCGCTTAGCAGGCTATTGGTTGTAAGTTCCATTCTAATTGGCCCAGCATTGAACCAGCTTAATAAATATCATACATATTCATATATCTATTATTTGTGAAATAATCTTGTATTATTCAGGTTAAAGTATCTTCCAAGATAAACTACTACAAGTGGGCCATCTACTTGACTACAATTTCATTCCCTTAATAGCGTCATGTCAAACTGAAATATTCGTTCAAACTCTGTAGCAAAGAGTAAAAAAAATAGCTTTTATATGTGGCATTGGATGTTATATCTGTGGCCGTACAAAATAAAGATCATATTGAGATTTGCTTTATTCCCGTATATTTTCTCCGTCCTCAAATCTATTTGACAGATCGCTTCAATTATTTTTATTTGAATCTTATGGTATTGGAAATACCATCTTTCCGTTTATTTTCAAATAAATCTTTATTCACTTTTCGTTTGGAGTCGTAATACCTAACTTTGTTTTTCCGTATATTAACTCCAGTGAGTTGATAACTATTTCTAAACTCCTTTTAGATTGACCGCAACAATTTAAGAGTTTTTCGTTTTATTTATTTTTATTTATTAGGATCAAAATGACACACCATTTGGCACAATTATTTTCATGAGAAATATTGACTCCAAATGTGTTTCACGAAACAATTTTTCCTTTTTTTTTTTTTCGTTTTAAAAGTGAAATCAGTTTTACACCCAGTATGTTCCAATAGACGCCAACAAAGCTCATTAAAGGTCTTGATACACTGTGTGTATGGGCTTAGAAGTATCGAATCAACATATTGACAAGGCTAAATACAAATTGATATGTTGATCACATCTGAAAGCGTCTATTTTGGAGGAAGTGAATATATCTAGAAATGACAATCATCAAACGGTGGAATTTTCCGATTTCATAGATTTAATTTTTTTTTCTCTACTAATAAGATCTTTGATTCTTCATTCGAGACTGAAATCGAATTCATAAATTGACATAAAAGGTGGAAACATACTCGCTGTCTAATACTGTCATTTGAATAATATTCAAATGATAAACTCATCCACCAAAAATAAACATGGACAATGTCAGACCGATTTTTTTCACCAATTATTTAAAGTGAAATATTTAATTCCTTTAACATTTATATTTTTCGCCAAAAGTATCTGAAATGTTTTGATTTATCATTTTGTTATTGATACATTTGAACTATTGAAATTATGTAATATGATTGTTCATTTCATTGACGCGAAGCGATAAAATATAAATAGTTGATTTCACTTTGGGCTCTGCACTCGAATTCTAAATATTTTTATAACATCTACTTACAGCCCAAAAGCTACTAAAAAAGATTTGAATACAGTAGGACTTACCTTCCACAAAATCATTATGTGGATGGCCCAATCAGAAAAATATTTGTTGTGTTCAAAGTTTTTGTTAAAGTAAAACTACTTTGAAAAATATTTTTCAAAGGAATACAAACTAAATAAAAACGTAGGATTGAATGCCGTTAATAATTTACAGTAATTTAAAAATATAAACATATTAATGAAATTAAAATTTTTTCCAAGATAACAAATTCGGAGTCATCAGATTCTGAGCAGAAAAACAAAAATTATTTTTTAACTTACTTACATTAACTGAGTATGGTTTCGAATTTATTTCAATAATTTGACATTTGGTTTCCGTCGTAAAATATTAATTGTGAGGGAGTTGTGTCCCTTATGCCGTTAAATCGGCTGACAGTACATCACAGTCTATTTCAGGTTAAAATCAATGACCATTTATTTTCCTTTTATAGACAAACACTTTTACCTTTTTCTCTAGTAAGGAAAAAGAGAATAAAATTGATTAAACATATTTAGAATTTCTTACATTTTTCAAAGCGGATAATATTACCTCTATGGAAATATTTGGACATAACTGGTAAATTCTGAGAAAACAAATAATTTTTTCGTTTATTGCCATCATTTTGTTTCGGGTTAATATTCCCATTGGTCATTTTTTTTATTTTCCCATTATAGGTCTACGACGTTTTCTGAAGTGAAGCATTATTCTTAAAAAAAATTATCAACCACTTAGTCTAAGGTTAACATTCCCCTCCTCTCGCAGGCAATACAGTCTGACTAAAACTCTTTACGCTTGTGTTAAATTTCTCATTTTATTTTCAACTCATTAATCCCTACATTTATTTTTCGTCATTTTTATTTTCAGTTTTCCCCATATATATTTCGATTTTACAAAGTGAATCAAAAATCTTTACTATAGACATCATTTCCGTATAAGGTTAATATTTACCTGTTCTCACAGACAATGAACAGTGTATACCCTCCCGCATGTTTTATTTTTCATTTCCGAATAGGGCTAATATTGATGTAACGGACAATATTCAGTGTTTACACTCATTTTTATTTTTACTCTCATTTCAGTATAGGGCTAAAATTAATCTGTTCCCACGGACAATACACAATGTATACCCTCCCGCTTATTTTATTTTCATTTCCGTATAGGGTTAATATTTATCTGTTCTCACGGACAAGTGTATACACACCTACTTATTTTATTTTCATTTCCGTATAAGGTTAATATTTCTCTATTCTCACGGAAAATGCAGTGTATACCATCCCGCTATTTTCATTTCCAAATAGTGTCAATATTTATCTGTCATCAGGGACAATACGCAGTGTATACCATCACGATTATTTTATTTTCATTTCCGTATAGGGTTAATATTTATCTATTCTCACGGACAGCTGTATACCCTCCCGCTTATTTTATTTTCATTTCTGTATAGGGCTAAGATTCATCTGTGCTCAGAGACAATACACAGTGTATAACATCCTGCTTATTTGTTGTTTTTTTTTCTTCATTTCCGTACAGGTATGATATTTATCAGTTCTCACGGACAACTGTATACCCTCCCGCTTAATTTATTTTCATTTCTCTATAGGGTTAATATTCATCTGTTCTCAAGGGCAAATGTATACCCTCCCGGTTATTTTATTTTCATTTCCGTGTAGGCTTAATATTCATCTGTTCTCACGGACAATACACAATTTATACCCTCCCGCTTATTTTATTTTCATTTCACTGTAGGGTTAATATTTATCTGTTCTCACGGACAATGCACAATGTATACACTCCCGATTATTTTATTTTCATTTCCGTGTAAGGTTAATATTTATGTGTTCTCACGGGCAACTGTATACCCCCCACCGCTTATTTTATTTTCATTATTCTATTGGCTTAATATTCATCTGTTCTCACGGACAATACACAATGTATACCCTCTCGCTTATTTTATTTTCGTTTCCCTGTAGGGTTAATATTTGTCTGTTCTCACGGGGAACTGTATACCCTCCCGCTAATTTTATTTTCATTTCCGTCTGTTCTCACGGACAATACACAGTGTATACCCTCCCGCTTATTTTATTTTCATTTCCGTCTGTTCTCACGGACAATACACAGTGTATACACTCCCGCTTATTTTATTTTCATTTCTCTATAGGCTTAATATTCATCTGTTCTCACGGACAATGCACAAGGTATACGCTGCGGCTTATTTTATTTTCATTTCCCTGTAGGGTTAATATTTATCTGTTCTCAAGGGCAACTACACCCCCCCGCTTATTTTATTTTCATTACTCTATAGGCTTAATATTCATCTGTTCTCACGGACAATGCACAATGTATACACTCCCGCTTATTTTATTTTCATTTCCCTGTAGGGTTAATATTTATCTCTCCTCACGGGCAACTGTATACCCTCCCGCTTATTTTATTTTCATTTCTCTATAGGCTTAATATTCATCTGTTCTCACGGACAATGCACAATGTATACCCTCCCGCTTATCTTATTTTCATTTCCCTGTAAGCTTAATATTTTTCTGTTCTCACGGGCAACTGTATACCCTCCCGCTTATTTTATTTTCATTTCTCTATAGGCTTAATATTAATCTGTTCTCACGGACAATACACAATGTATACCTTCCCGCTTATTTTATTTTCATTTCCGTCTGTTCTCACGTACAATACACAGTGTATACCATCCCGATTGTTTTATTTTCATTTCCCTGTAGGGTTAATATTTTTCTGTCCTCACGGGCAACTGTATACCCTCCGGCTTATTTTATTTTCATTTCTCTATAGGCTTAATATTCATTTATTTTATTTTCATTTCCATCTGTTCTCACGTACAATACACAGTGTATACACTCCCGCTATTATTTTCATTTCCCTGTAGGGTTAATATTTATCTGTTCTCACGGGCAACTGTATACCCACCCGATTATTTTATTTTCATTACTCTATAGGCTTAATATTCTTCTGTTCTCACTGACAATGCACAATGTATACCCTCCCGCTTATTTTATTTTCATTTCCCTGTAGTGTTAATAGTTATCTGTTCTCACGGGCAACTGTATACCCTCCCACTTATTTCATTTTCATTTGTCTATAGGCTTAATATTCATCTGTTCTCACGGACAGTACACAATGTATACCCTCCCGCTTATTTTATTTTCATTTCCCTGTAGGGTTAATATTTATGTTCTCACGGGCAACTGTATACACTCCGGATTATTTTACTTTCATTACTCTATAGGCTTAATATTCTTCTGTTCTCACGGACAATGCACAATGTATACCCTCCCGCTTATCTTATTTTCATTTCCCTGTAAGGTTAATATTTTTCTGTTCTCACGGGCAACTGTATACCCTCCCACTTATTTTATTTTCATTTCTCTAGAGGCTTAATATTCATCTGTTCTCACGGACAATGCACAATGTATACCCTCCCGCTTATTTTATTTTCATTTCCCTGTAGGTTTAATATTTATCTCTCCTCACGGGCAACTGTATACCCTCCCGCTTATTTTATTTTCATTTCTCTATAGGCATAATATTCATCTGTTCTCACGGACAATGCAAAATGTATACCCTCCCGCTTATTTTATTTTCATTTCCCTGTAAGGTTAATATTTTTCTGTCCACACGGGCAACTGTATACCCTCCGGCTTATTTCATTTTCATTTCTCTATAGGCTTAATATTCATTTATTTTATTTTCATTTCCATCTGTTCTAAGGTACAATACACAGTGTATACACTCCCGCTTATTTTATTTTCATTTCCGTCTGTTCTCACGGACAATACACAGTGTATACACTCCCGCTATTATTTTCATTTCCCTGTAGGGTTAATATTTATCTGTTCTCACGGGCAACTATATACCCTCCCGATTATTTTATTTTCATTTATCTATAGGCTTAATATTCATCTGTTCTCACGGACAATGCACAATGTATACCCCCCCGCTTATTTTATTTTCATTTCCCTGTAGGGTAATATTTATCTGTTCTCACGGGCAACTGTATAACCTCCCGCTTATTTTATTTTCATTTCTCTATAGGCTTAATATTCATCTGTTCTCACGGATAATGCACAATGTCTACCCTCCTGCTTATTTTATTTTCATTTCCGTCTGTTCTCACGGACAATACACAGTGTATACCCTCCCGCTTATTTTATTTTCATTTCCCTTTAGGGTTAATATTCATCTGTTCTCACGGACAATGCACAATGTATACCCTCCCGCTGATTTTATTTTCATTTCCGTGCAGGGTTAATATTCATCTGTTCTCACGGACAGTACACAATGTATACCTTCCCGCTTATTTTATTTTCATTTCCATGTAGGGTTAATATTTATCTGTTCCCACGGGCAACTGTATACCCTCCCGCTTATTTTATTTTCACTTCTCTATAGGCTTAATATTCATCTGTTCTCACGGATAATACACAATGTCCTCCCTCCCGCTTATTTTATTTTCATTTCCGTCTGTTCTCACGGACAATACACAGTGCATACCCTCCCGCTTATTTTATTTTCATTTCCCTGTAGGGTTAATATCTATCTGTTCTCACGGGCAACTGTATACCCTCCCGATTATTTTATTTTCCTTTATCTATAGGCTCAATATTCATCTGTTCTCACGGACAATGCACAATGTCTACCCTCCCGCTTATTTTATTTTCATTTCCGTCTGTTCTCACGGACAATACACAGTGTATACCCTCCCGCTTATTTTATTTTCATTTCCCTGTAGGGTTAATATTTATCTGTTATCACAGGCAACTGTATAACCTCCCGCTTATTTTATTTTCATTTCTCTATAGGCTTAATATCCATCTGTTCTCACGGACAATGCACAATGTATCCCCTCCCGCTTATTTTATTTTCATTTCCCTGTAGGGTTAATATTTATCTGTTCTCACGGGCAACTGTATAACCTCCCGCTTATTTTATTTTCATTTCTCTATAGGCTTAATATTCATCTGTTCTCACGGATAATGCACAATGTTTATTTTCATTTCTCTATAGGCTTAATATTCATCTGTTCTCACGGACAATGGACAATGTCTACCCTCCCGCTTATTTTATTTTCATTTCCGTCTGTTCTCACGGACAATACACAGTGTATACCCTCCCGCTTATTTTATTTACATTTCCCTGTAGGGTTAAAATTTATCTGTTCTCACGGGCAACTGTATAACCTCCCCTTTATTTTTTTTTTCATTTCTCTATAGGCTTAATATTCATCTGTTCTCACGTACAATGCACAATGTCTACCCTCCCGCTTATTTTATTTTCATTTCTCTATAGGCTCAATATTCATCTTTTCTCACGGACAATGCACAATGTATATTTCTTTTTTTATTTTATTTTTTATTTTCCGTCTGTTCTCCTGCTTATTTTATTTTCATTTCCCTTAGCACATCTGTATACCCTCCCTGCTTATTTTATTTTCATTTCCTGTAGCGTTAATATTCATCTGTTCTCACGTATAATGCACAATGTCTACCCTCCCGCTTATTTTATTTTCATTTCCGTCTGTTCTCACGGACAATACACAGTGTATACCCTCCGGCTTATTTTATTTTCATTTCCTTTAGGGTTAATATTTATCTGTTCTCACTGGCGACTGTATAACCTCCCATTTATTTTTTTTTCATTTCTCTATAGGCTTAATATTCATCTGTTCTCACGGACAAAGCACAATTATTTTATTTTATACCCTCCCGCTTATTTTTATTTTCTGTTCCCTGTAACCCCTGCTTATTTTATTTTAATTTCTTCTATTAATATTCTGTTCTCACGTTTAATAAACGCATTTTTTTCAATGTCTATTTTTTTCATTTCTTAGGCTTATTTTATTTTGTTCTCCCGGACTTACTCTATTTCTCCGGCTTATTTTATTTTCTGTTCTCATCTCTGTTCTCACATCTTTTATTTTTCATTTCCCTGTAGCAATAATGTCTGTTACCTTCCCGCTTATTTTTCTATTCTCCTCCAACGTTTTTTTTTTCGTCTTAATTTCATCTGTTCTCCGGACAATGCATTTTTACCCTCCCCTTATTTTATTTTCATTTCCTTTATGGTTAATATTTATCTGTTCTCACGACAACTGTATAACCTCCCACTTATTTTTTTTTTTTCTATAGGCTTAATATTCATCTGTTCTCACTGACAATGCACAATGTCTATCCTCCCGCTTTTTTTATTTTCAATTTCCCTTTTTTAGGGTTAATCTGTTCATTTATCTATTCTTACTTCTGTTTCAATAATGTATATACCTCCCATTTTATTTTATTTTCATTTTTTCTCGATCTCTATTCAGGTCTTAATTTCTTTTTTTCTCTGTTCTCATTCTTTATCCCTCCGCTTATTTTATTTTCATTTCCCTTAGGGTTAATATTTATCTGTTCTCACGAGCAATAATATTCCTTATTTTTTAAATTTCTATTATTTTATCTTTTAATTCATTAACGTTTTTTTCTTCAATTTTTTTTTCTGTTCTTTATCCCTTACAATCCATTCCTTTTAATTAATATTTCCTTCTTACGAGCAATAATTTTTATTTTCCAACTTTATTTCCCTTCTGTTTTTTCATCTCCTTTTCATCAACGTATTTTTTTTTCGTCTTCAATTTATTTTTTCTCCCTTTATTTTTATCCCTTTTTTCATTTCCCTTTAGGGTTAATATTTCCTGTTCTCACGAGCAATAATGTCTGTTAGCCTTCCCACTTTATTATAAATTTTTTAATATTAATTATTTTATCTATTTTAATTCATTATTTTTTTTTCATTTCAATTTTTTTCTCCTTTAATCTTTTATTATCCTCATCCATTCCTTTAGGGTTATATTTCCCTATTCTTCACTGTTAGCCTTCCCACTTATTATAAATTTCTGGGTAATTTTTTCATCTCCTTTTAATTCATCAACGTATTTTTTTTTCCTCAATTTCATTTCCCTTTCCATTTCTTTATTATTTTCTATTCTTACGAGCAATAATGTCTGTTAGCCTTCCACTTATTATAAATTTCTGGTTAATTTATTTCTTCATCAACGTATTTTTTTCGTCTTCTTTCTTTTTTCTCCTTTCTTTATCCCTGTTCTCAATTTCCTTTATTTTTTTTATTCTTACGAGCAAATTTTAGCCTTCCCACTTATTATAAATTTTCTCTTTTTTTTTTCATCTTTTAATTCTCAACGTATTTTTTTCGTCTTCTCTTTTATCCATTCAATCCTTCCATTCCTTTAGGTTAATATTTCCCTATTCTTACAAGCAATAATGTCTGTTAGCCTTCCCACTTATTATAAATTTTCATTTCATCTCCTTTTAATTCATCAACGTATTTTTTTTCGTCTTCAATTTCTTTTTTCTCCCTTTATTCTTTATCCCTTACAATCCTCATCCATTCCTTTAGGTTAATATTTTATTATTCTATTAATGTCT